AAGAAATAAATTAAAGACAAGCATCCTCAGAACCATAAACCAGCCTCTCTCAACCAGGTGCTGCAGCACAATGAGGTGTCTTCTGGCTTCCTCAGGAGTGCCTCAAAATGTTTGCATAGCATCGTGCCTCTGATGTAAAGGGAAGACTGATGTGAAGAAGGGGGGCTCCTGTTGTGAAGAGAGGGCTTCTGATGTGAAGAGGGGGCTCCTGATGTAAAAGAGGACTTTTGAAGGGAAGCTGGGACTGTGTTGTGAAGGCGGAGGGGATCCTGATGTGAAAGATGGGGATCCTGGATGTGAAGATGGCTTCTGATGTGAATGAGGGGGACTCTGATGTGAAGGGGTGCTCCTGATTAGAAGGGGGGACTTAGACTAGAGAGCCTTGAGATTATGCATACTTTAAAAGGATGCCGTGACTGACAGTCAGTAGGTTGAGCAATGTTGCCCTACAGTTAATCCAGAGGAAGGCAATAAACCCGTATAAGGCATGGTCCACTTTGCTCCAACAGGGAAGAAGTTCTTTTCTGATTCCCTAAGACAATTGAATATTCCCTGGATCAACAGCCTACAGCGTTATTACAATGTCGATGTTTCAACAGAGCTCAGTCCTTCTTCATCAATAAGATAAGGATGGACTAAGCTCCATCAAAACACTGAAAAGAAATACTGTTGCTTTGACTTATTTCCACTGCAAGACCCTTGAATGCCTCTATACCTACTTTGTGTATATTTACAGTATATATACATATACACACACACTGATCAACCATAACCTTATGATCACCTGCCTAATATTGAGTAGGTCCCCCAAAACAGCCTTGACTTGTCGAGGCATGGACTCCACTAGACCTCTGAAGGTATGCTGTGGTATCTGCCTCCCAGCCATTAGTAGCAGATCCTTTAGGTCCCGTAGGGTGTGAGGTGGGGCGTCAATGGATCAGAATTATTTTTCCAGCACATACCACAGATGCTGGATTGGATTGAGATCTGGAAAATTTGAAGCCCAAATCAATGCCTCAAACTCATTGCTGTGTTCCTCAAATCCTTAGTGAACCATTTTTGTACTGTGGCAGGGAGCATAATCCTGCTGAAAGAGGCTACTGCCATCAGGGAATAATGTTTTCATGAAGGGTTGTACTTGGTCAGCAACAATGTTTAGGTCGGTGATACTTTACTTATCAAAATCCCAGAATCCCAGTTGCCAACGCATAACAATGCCTCCACCCGCTTGCCTTCTTCACATAGTGTATCCTGGTGCCATCTCTTCCCCAGGTAAGCGACACACGCGCACCCGCCATCCACATGATGTAAAAGAAAATATGATTCATCAGACCAGACCACCTTCTTCCATTGCTCTGTGGTTCAGTTCTGATGCTCATGTGCCCACTGTAGGCAATCTTGCCGGTGGACACGGGTCATCATGGGCACCCTGCCCAGTTGTGAGGCTAGGCAGCCTCATACACAACAAACTGCGATGCTCTGTGTGACTAGAGACCTTTCTATCAGAACCAGCATAAACTTTTTCAGCAATTTAGGCTACAGTAGCTATTCTATTGGATCAGACTATACAGGCCAGCCTTCGCTCCCCACGTGCATCAATGAACCTTGGCCGCCCATAACCCAGTCAACATGAGCACCTGGATCCTCGCTCTGCAGCATGTCAGCAAGTGCAGATCGAGTGCTGGGCATTCTTACTAGAAAGTCAAGGCACTGTAGGCAAACATCGTACTATGGAAGCACCTTGTGCTAAATATGTATTTGCACAATAAAGAATGGTTTAAATAAAGTATTGTATTAAAATAGAAGAAAGACCAAAATAAAGTTATAACGGTAAGGTGGAGAAACATACTATTTCAAGACACCTACATACTTTATGAATGCATGCATGGCAAAATTTAAGAACAATTAAGACCAATTTAGCTGGGATTCCTTGCTTGCTAACAGGAAATATTTCACACACACACAATCTAAAAATACGGTGCAGATCCCCATTAACGAGTGTTTGCAAAGGCATAACTCAGGTTCGGTAGCAGAAATGGATTCTTCATTAGCAAGTTAACATTGTACCAACCTTGACTTTTCCTGGGCCCTCTTCCTCCTCCTTCTTGTCCTCAAACTCGAACGCCACCGTCATCCTTTGCTGGCGCTGCTCCTCCCAGAGCGCGGGGTTAAAGCTATCACTATCCGACTGGAAATCTGAAATGTACCAGCCACACTGTCACTTACACATGTAGCCCAATGGTCAACGTATTCACTGCTGTCAAAAACATATTTTCTTCACATGTCTTCTGTCACACTGCAAATACAGATAAGATTTCTAAAATAGAAAAATCCCCTCCCCCCCAATCCTTTCACACTATTAGAGTTTATAGCTTACTAAGACATATGTTTACTCCTTAGCTGAAGATTACAATTTTCGCCAACTCTGTTTCTTAAAGGGGTTAGGGCTTTTCCCCATAGTTCTCCTAAGGGTAACGGGAGGACACAAACTAGCGTCCTCCCGTCACTCTAAGCTCAGTATACCGCAAGCTACAGCTCGCGGTATACTGAGACGCCGCAGCTGAAACGGATCCCGACAATTATGTCTGGATCCACCCAGCTGCGTGATTGACAGCTGGCTCTGCCTATCTAGAGGCATAGCCAGCTGTACCCGCCCCCTCCCCCGTCCGTTCCGCCAGTCAGCGCTGGAGGATCAGACAGGGGAGGGGGGAATCCAGTCACTCCCCTGTCACGGCTCTCTGCAGTGACAGGATCGAGAAGAGAGCGAACGCCGGTATGTGTTCGCTCACTTCCCGATCTACTGAGCCGACCTGTGACAGTTTAATTGTCACAGGTCGGCTAGAACTATGAGGTGAGTGAAAAGCACTCACCTCATAGTTCTCCTTTAATGGTGTTCAACTGTCCATAGAACCAGTAAAGTATACTGTATGACCAAGGTGGCCAACCTGCAGGCCAGAATTCACGCATGGTGCTATGCATCCATCAAGGTACATGTGTTATATGGCTGTTTAATGCACATTGGGTAATTCTAGCGTGAACTTCCACTTTAATGCTTTGTACAGAGCTCCTGTGTATAGACGCTTGCTGCGGTGCATAATGGAAAGCAGCACGCATTCTCTTCAGAACAGAATATTCCACTGACACATTGTAAAGCTGAATAGACTTTTTTTTTTGAAAACCACCAGTAGAGCAGAAAGTCCAGGAAAAATCAATAAGCCAATTAATATATTCTCCCTCCCTCTTGTGCACGCAGCCCCGTGCTAGGCTGCGTTCCAAAAGCCATCAGGGGTGAGTGCCACATTAAAAACCTCAGCACTATGTTTAACGTATCTGGAAAGAATTTAGAGGCAGCTGTCATGTTGGTTCTGCAACTTCATCCTTCTGCAGAACAATCATGATTGTGTAATATAATTGAGGAAAGTGACGGCAAAGGACAGCCGAGAGGAAATCTCATGACTTTATGTAGAACCTAACCCGTACTATTCAAATTATTAGTTTCATACCGCATGCCCCCATCAGCTGAATCGCTCGCCACCGTTATCAAACATCCTTTTACAATTTTTTATTCATTAAAAACATATCTCCTTGCGGAGTTTTTTGATACACGGTCAAGGATGAGACACCTACCTGCTCTAAGATCTCTTATTCATTTACTACGTTGTTGCATTTGATATGTTGCTATTGTTTTCCTGATAATCTGCTGTATTGGAGCAACGTGATCCACTTTTCTATATATATTTACTGCAACACTTTAATAAACATATTGAGGCAGAAAAACATATCTCCTTGCAAGGTTCTTCTGCCACTTAAGTTTATGTGCACTTGTGCTCCGGACATGGGGGCACAGTCACTAGGGCTACAGTTCCCAGTATGCAAGAGCCAGGGTGGAGGCTGTGCTCTAAAGCCTTGGTTCTCAACTGGTGGGTCGCGACCCAAAAGTGGGTCGCCACATGCCTTCCACTGCACTAGGTGTGAGGCTCCTCAGCCTCCCCCATAACGCAGCACTGCCAGTTCTCATGCCGAGTAGCCTTTCAAAATATGCTGTCCGACGCCGAGTCTCTGTTTGAGGTGGGGTGGGCTGGGTGTATGGCATGCGAAGGAAATCCATCCATACGTGCATTGCTTACAACTCTCTCTGTGACCACAGTGACATCACATTCTGGCTCCCGGCACCGCTACAGGGAGTGCAAGGGAGCTGTACAAGGCATGCACATATGGATGGAGCTTCGTCACCGCACAGCAGCCCACACTGAATCCCTAAAAAATAATTTTGGGGTGTGTATGTGTGTGTGTGTGTCTGTGAGTGTGTGAGATTGTGTCTGTGTGTGTCTGTGTGTGTCTGTCAGTGTTTTTTTTTTTTGAAACTACCATGCAATCGCACCTACTGTTCGTTCTGGTGCAGGAGGTGCGTTGCAATTCATTTGAATGGCACCCCGAACACACCTCCCGCCCACAGTTTGATCGCTGGTACCGGAACATGCAGTACCGCAATGCCATGCATTCCAGTGTGGTGCGACTTGGGTCGCGACTTAATGACCAAGGACAAATGTGGTTATAGAGGTTGAGAACCACTGCTCTAAAGCATCCTGCTGCTCACCTAATGAAGATCTCTGGGAAAATGTTTTCTTAATCCTTGCAGTGGGGCTACCCTGCACTGCAAGGGTTAAGTGCTCGTTTTAGGTGCTAAAACAAAAAAGTTATATTCACTGCCCTCAGGGGCAGGGCCCTCCTTACCATCTTGTCTTGAATTGTATTGTGATTGTAATCTCTTCCCTATATTGTAAAGCGCTGCGCAAACTGTTGGCGCTATATAAATCTTGTATAATAATAATAATTTTTACATCAAATGCATTTTAGTAGGAATTGAACCCGTAATCCCAGAGCTGCAATGCCGAAGCACAAAATGCTTTAGCATTGAACTCCCTCATTGGTGGAACAGCATTATACCGTTTATCTGACCGGGTACAGGAAGTCTTCACAAAGAAGATAAGAATTAATTGAAGGTTAGTTATTCTCTTAGATCAATGCTTGAGTGCATTTCATTAAAGGAGAACTATGGGTTTAAGGCTTTTCCCCATAGCTCTCCTTAGGGTAACGGGATTTATTTAGCTACAATGTGAACTTATTAGAGCAAAGGGAAAAGAAAATGTTTTTTTAAATCATAAAATGACAGAAATATTCACCCTCGTCACCACGCGGCTGCTGGGGGAACATGTAGTTGGTTAATACCCTCTGCTTTGTGTCGGGGTGAGCCTCCGTCTGTAGCGGGATGAGCGCTTTGGACTGAAACAAACAGTTAAACACAAATTAATCTGGCAGACAATAAGGAGGTCAGCAATACCAAATCACATTGGGCAAAATGTACCTTTCTCTTGCCATAAATAAAAAAATCTGCTGCTTCTAGGATCTCTTCTAAAGTCTGGGCAAATATCACACGAGGTTGTATTTATAAACAATTCGTACAGCCATTCGTCCGGTGAAACTCTGTGAACGCTGGTCCCATGCGGATGGAGGAGACCTTTTTTAGTATATTTTCTTTCCAAGTCGAATGTAATATTAGAAAACGACCTCATTGTGGCCACTAGATAGAGCTGAGGAGCATGGGAAGTGAATACTTCTTTCTTATGCTCTTCAGCTCTATCTAGTGGTCGTAATGTGGTATTTTTCTGATATTTTCTTCGACTTGGAAAGAAAATATACCCTGGGCAAAAAAAAAAAAAGTCACCACCTGGATTTATCTAAGCAATTAGGTCAGAGCCTTCCACTGGATAAGTGTTATGATCTGGGGTTGTTTCAGCTGGTTAGATCTCTAGTTTCAGAAAATGTGCCCAAAAAATTAGGTCAGCTGCCTTCCTGAATATACTGAATGATCAGGTTTTTCCATCAATGTATTTTTTATTCTCTGATTGGACGGGCATATTCCAAGATGACAATGCCAGGATTCATTCGGCTCAGATTGTGAAAGAGTGGCTCAGGGAGCATGAGACATCATTGTCACACATGGATTGGCCACCACAGAGTCCAGACCTTAACCCCATTGAGAATCTTTAGGATTTGCTGGAGAAGACTTAACACAATGTGCCGACTCTCCCATCATCACCACAAGATCTTGGGGAAAAATGAATGGAACTCTCGATAGAAATAAAGGTTGTGACATTGCATAAGCTTATCAAAGCAATGCCATGGCGAATGCGTACCGTAATGACAACTAAAGGTGGTCCAACGAAATATTAGAGTGTGTGACTTTTTTTGGGTCCAGGCAGGGTACTAAGAACATTTGTATTTGCCTTCATTTGAACGGAACGTTCATGGAGTTTCACAGGACGAATGGCCATGTGAATTGTTTATAGCTACACCATATGGTGTCTGGCTGCAAAAAAAGTACTGTGGTGGAGATGGCTGGCACAACCAATGTGGACTACTAAGCAGGAAGTAGAACCTACATATGTAAGAAGCAAATAAAGCTTTCACAATGTACATACAAAATCCCAAATTATATATATAAACATATCTGTGAAGGTTCTCATATATGGTGATCATGGTATAGCTAGTTGTAGTTGGTTACATTCCCCTGTAATGTTGAAGATGTTTCATAGATTGTAAGCCCTCACGGGCAGGGCCCTCCTTGCCATCTTGTCTTGATTTGTATTGTGATATTAATTGTTTGTAATGTCTTCCCTATATTGTAAAGCACTGCGTAAACTGTTAGCGCTATATAAATCCTGTAATAATAATATAAATAATAAATAATAGCGTCACCAAAGCACTTCTTCAGTTCTAGTTAGTGTCAGGAACATACCTCTGAATTAAAGGATTGATACCTATGCAGACTCACTGACACCAAGGGTGGGATTTTGTAGCCAGAACAGGGGGGGTTCCACAACTTTCACTCCTCCCATCCTGTTCTTAGACAATCAACATCTACCTTGGAACATTCCATGGTGATCGGATTAAGGTGTCTGTGCTACCTGTGTGGATATAAATGTTGAGGGATGTTCCTGACACTCACTGGACCTGGAGAAGTGTAAAACGAGAAGAACAAAACGTAGGGATGTACAGACACCAGTATCTGTATCGGTGCCCATACTTGGGGATACCTTGTTAAATTAACCTGATAAAGACAGTGATAGTTGACAGGGGCCTCCTGAGGCAAGATGTCACCCGGGGACCCGTGACATCATCGCGCAATACGCTGTGTTCTTTTTTATGCCTGCTGGCGGCCATCTTGGTGATGGACCCCGGCAGAGAGAGGAGGGGACGTTCACCCGGCGGGATAAGGTATGCTGCCCGGTCCCCTCCTCTCTCCTGACACTGTCGGACTCTCGGTCCTTGACCGAGTGCCCGACATTTCATAGGGGGTGACACTAAAATGACTGTCAGTCATTTTGGTGTCACCCCTCCAATGGTGGCACCAGCCAGCACCTGCATAGGACCATGGAGATGTATCGCGGATCTGTGAGTGATAAAATCTTAATACCTGATTGTCAGAAAGCCACAGAGCAGCAAGCTCTTTAAGTTTCGTAAAGCTGAACGGCAGATTTTTTAACCTGGAACAAAAAAAAAGGGCAGATGCACACTTACACACGCAGAAATCATATTCATTTACATACATTTTGTGCTGACTTAAAGAAGAACTCCAGACATTTAAAAAAGATTGTACACTTGCAGTGTGGGTACCCACTCGTTTTATCTAGGGGAGTCAAATAATGCAGATATACTCATTTGATTTTTGGTCCGCACTTACCTCTCTCCCCCTCCACTCCAGCTATGTAATGTTCCTTGGCGTCCTCCTCACATCTAATTCAAGTCAATGTATCTGCATTAAATGTGATGACATCATTGGTCCTTAGCCCAGGGGGGAAGAGGCTGCGGGAGGCTAGCAGCCCGGCGGGACTGAGCACCAGGTGAGTATATCTGCTTTATTTGACTCCCCTAGACAAAACGAGCACCTGACCCTTGCAGCAGAGGGGTAGCCCCACTGCAAGGGTAAGTTTTTAAAATTCCAGGAGTTCTTCTTTAAAATGGGCCAATTTCTGAATTTTACAAATTTTTTTTAACCAGTTGACATCCGCGGTGTTAAACCCCCTTCCCATCCAGGCCATTTTTCAGTATTCAGCGCTGCAGTACTTTGACTGACATTTATTCCGTCATGCAGCGCTGTACTGAAATAAATTTTATACCCTTTTTTGAGGACAGATAGAGCTTTCTTTTGGTGGTATTTATTATGAGTATACATTTTGATGTGATTATGTATAAAGGTGACCATACACTGCACGATTCTCGTACGAGAATCGCGGGAAATCCCGCGATCGTACGATAATCGTGCAGTGTATGGAAGGTACTTTTATATTTCGAGCATGTTGGAAAACCAGCCGAGAATCATACAATTTTCGGCTGGTTTTTAACATGATCGAGAGACAACTGCCGAACGGGCCGGTATGCGCACGCACACACTTTCCGTTCAGCATTGCAGTCATCGGAAGCCCTCAGGGGGGCGGGCATGCGATGATCACAAGTGCGATCTGCCTGTCCAAGATGGGCAGATCATACGTTTTTTTAAATTACTTTACAACCCTTGCAGGACAAAAGTCTTGCGAGGGTTGTAAAGTGTATGGGCACCTTAACACAGCTCTGAACTTTTTACTATTTCGGGGACCAAATAATTAGGAAAATTGTTTATTCTTTGTCTGGAAATAAGCCTGCATGAGATGTATAAAATAGGTATTACTGGGGACGCACTGGGGGACCCAACTTCAGTCTTCATTTTGTATTGCTGGGCCTCCAGTGCGTCCCTGCACCTTTTGAGTGGGCTACCTCCAGGCACACCTGCATTTAATTTATCAACTGCTTTAATATCCTCCAACATGGAGACTCATAAATAGAGTTAGGACCACGCTTCACAGAGGGGCCTTGACGGGGCAATGTGGCTTCTACATATTTTTGGCCAAAGGTTTGTGCAACTAAAACCTCTGCTTTTAACGCATACTGTTAGACAGGGTCATTTGTTTTGTTGCAGGCTAGCTGGCAAGTGTGCTGGGAATTCTTTTTGTGTTTTGTAGTATTACTGCAACACACCTGTCCTACTGTGGTACACTGCGGTGCCATATGTCACCAACGGCACCCCCAACACTTTATACAGTGGTGGCCAATGCACCACATTGCTCCACAACACACATACTGGTGGTGCAGTAGAAAAAAGGGTCATGTGCCTTTTGAGTTTGCTGTGTGTTGGCATCGTTACTGCCGACACACAACAAACAACAGCAACATGATGCACGTTAACGCTACGCAACAGATGTTATTAGCCTGGGTGGACCCATACATAATACGAGTCATAAGCCTGTTTAATTTTTAACCTGCACAAGAACAATTAAAGCAGCAAACTCAGTTCATGCTGAGGGCATAACACACTGTCCTCCATGAGGCCTGCTGGTGCTGAATTTACCACCCTGGTGCTGAATTTACCCCATTTGGCCAACCTTTTGCCTAAAAAGCACGTTGGCTTCCGATGTTATTACCGGCAAAAGGGAGGCCTGTGTTTTTTCCTGGAAGATATAGAATCCCGGCATGCATACAGTCAGTAAATGACACACAGGTGTTGTGGGTTAATAAAATATTCCTGACATCCCTCGTTAAACTAAGCTCTAGACTGAGTTGGTTTGTTAAATGCTAATTGCATGAACATAATTAGCGCACATGTGCAACGTATGCTCCAACTGATTGCCTCTTGTGCTGGATACCTGCCTAACAGATGATGCTCCACATTAAGAGTCTTCAAGGTGGCAACGATCTCATTTCTCCACCACAAGTGGGCCGTGAGGATGTATCCATTATGATAAGATGGATGTAAGAGCCTCCGCTCATGAAGCATTGTGTGCAACAGAAAAGGCTTCTCACATCACATGACAGGCAAATGTGAACAGAAATCCATCTTTGATGCTAATGACTCCTACCATTACTGATACACTGAAGTGTATTTTCAATGAGTTTTGATTTAGGTTATTACTGCAAAATTATGGTAAAGGAAGATTTAACATTTTTTCATTGAACATGCCCGACCAGGTGGGGTTGAAATTGCATTGAGTCAGTATAGGATCCAAAATGTTCAGGGGAGAAAGTCATACTTGGCCTTGATCTTGGTCTTGAGGAACCATCAACTTCAACAAGTGTATAACTAAATTACTTCTCTTGGACCACCCTTTTACAGATGCGCCTTGAAGCGGCAGGGTAGAGTCACATGTATCTGCAAATATAGGCAACAAAAACCCTGAATTAGGGGATCTAGGGTGGAGAATTTCATATGAGGAGTTTACGGCACCATATGTCACCAATGGCACCCCCAATGGCAGCCAATGCACCACAGTGCTCCACAGGAACAAACATAAAGTTGCCTTGCCGCACTCCTTCCCGGTAACCCCAATTCAACGCGCGGGAGTGCTTGTAATGACCGAGGATGGTGCCACCATCCTCTGTGTATGGCTAACTTACTTCTCTTGGAGAAGAAGGTGAATACTCAGCAAACTGGAGGGGGTAAAGTAGGGGCTTTTTTTGAGTTAGGGACCACTCTTTTACATATGTGCCTTTACATAGCAGGGTGGATTCACATGTATCTGCAAATGTATGCAACAAAAACCTGAGTGGGCCCTCACATGATACAACCCAATCATATGCCTGTTTTCATTTAAGGCTAAATTACTTTCTTGGAGGAGGAGGTGCATAGTCTGCAAGCTGGTGGGAGTCATAAAAGTTAGGGGGTTTAAGGGTGGAGAATGGGATATGAGAACTTTTGCTGGATTTGTTGCAGACACAACTGTCCTTAAGCTATGTTGGGCTTCTGGAATGTTCCTTTAAGGAAGAGACGGCTGCCTCCAGGTAATCTACTTTCAATTTAATAACTACTCTAGATATTCCGTAGCTGGGAACTCAGTTTAGTTTTTCACTTGGGGACTGTCCTATACTGTCCTATACAGAGGTGCCTTAACGCGTCAGGGTGGATTCACTTGTATTTGCAAATGTATGCAGCAAAATCTTAAGTGGGCCTTTATATGATACAAACCAATCATTTGCCTGTTTTAATTTTGTAATAGTTAAATTTCTTCTCTTGATGACGAAACTGCATAGGCTGCAAGCTGCAGGAGGTCATAAGCTCTAGGGGGTTTAAGGGTGGACAATCAGATATGAGGACTTTTCTGGATTTGTTGCAGGCACACAAGTGTCTTTATGCTATATTGGGCTTCTGGTTCCTTTAAGGAAAAGAAAGCTGCCTCTGGACAGCCTACCTTAAATGTAAGAATTGTTTTATAGTTCCATAGTTATGAACTCAGTTTTTGAGTTAGGGGGACGCACTTTACAGAGGTGCTCTGACATGGCAGGGAGGATTTATATGTATTTGCATATGTGTGCAACAAAAGCCTCTGTTTTTAGCTTGAGTAGCTAAAGCAGAACTGTGGCCTCCCATTAAAAAGAACTTACACTGAAAGCGCCTCTACACTTGCAGTTTTCTCTTAGCCTCCAGCAAATTCCTACAAAAACCTGTTGATCCTGCCAATGAAGTCCACCTAATGCAGCTTCCTGAGATGGTGTGGCAACAATGCTGCACTGCACCTTAATTCAGAGAAGAGTTGTTACTCTCACGTATGTGCTACCTGCTTGCATTAGAGTAGAATGAAAAATGATTGGATGAGACATTGCAATCAGAACTGCCACTGTAGCTTGTCAATCAGTCCCGGGCCACACCTAGCCCCGCCCATTGCTTTCTGGATTGACCACACTGTTTTTGTTCCTGTAACCCACCCACTGTGAGCTGCAATGCTTGGGAGGGGAAATGTGTAAGACACAAATGGAGGATTTGGCTCACTCAGGGAAGGTGAGGCTTGTGCATAATAGAGTGGGTAGATTTGAGGGTACCTGAAGATTCACTAATACTGTCCAGTCAGTGGCTCCCCCATCTCAACTGTAAACTGGTAAAGGGGTTCCCTAAATACCTTGACAGTCCTGGGTCTGACTTGCTACAGTGTGAATTAAGACTTCAAACACATGCTCCTTGCCAGCACACGGCTCCTTGTGCTGCTTCTTCCTCTCACACTCCAGCCCTGCAGTACATGGAGAGCAAGAGGCTGATTCCAGGTCATATTTAGGTACTTACACTGCTTGCATTAAAAATACATATGAATAATTTCAGATCTGTATAATTTATGTCTTTTATATCTGCCTAGAGTTCAGCTTACTATCTCCTGATGAAAAATGTATCAGTGTTCGTGTCATACCTGTTGTCACTTAAGTTTAATACTCTCAGCTTTGTCATCTGGCCGATCTCTTCAGGTAGAAATTCCAGCTTGTTTGATCGCAGTGACATCACGGTGACATTTTTGCAGTTTCCAATCTAAAAATGAGAAAGTGAGGATATCTGTAACCAATATTATTCCAGATTAACCGCATAAGTCATTAGTAAACACCATTTACCTATTTTCGTCCAATTTATTTGTCTAATTGTATGCAGATTAAGTTGGATACCGGTCCAACAATAAACAGGCAATCATCTCAAACAGTGAAGCCATATTACTTTAGGAGTATGTCAGCCAAAACGTTTTTTAAGTCTTGGATAGAGAGGAGCAGAGTTAATCCTTCATCATATTTAACTGCTCTCTGTGGTCCCTGATGGGGTACATTCCCCTCATTGTTCCGGTGGCTCATTGTCATCAGGACAGGTAGTGAGGGGAATTTAGCCCATCAGGAAATTAGGGTAAATCTCCCCATCAAGGCCTCAGACAGCAATACAAACTTGAGAGACATTATTCCCCTACCCAAACCTAAAAAAGTGTCTGGAGTTACGCTTTAACACCGAGACTACTGCTGTACATAGAGCTGATAAAAAATGCTTTTCCTTGCCTTCTGCCTAAGTAAAATCTTGGTATTAGTTTCTCACCCTAATGGGCAGTCAAATGCCACATTTGAAGCCAAATCAAACACGTTGCCATTCACTGCACAATCTGCTGGTGCTTTATAAATGATGACACCTTATTATGGAGAAAGGGGAAGGAACACTTTAAAAGGTGTAAGTAAAGGTAGAACTTGGAGGCAGGACTCTAAGGCACCCCTTTTGGGCTGTCCAACACCAACCCTTTAGACAATGACTATAGGACAAAACCTCAAGGCCCCATTCAAACCAGGGTGCCAGCGTTTCAGTGCTGTTATCACGCTTCTTTTGTAGCGCGTTTTTGCAGTGTTTTCTGTTCATACTGTATGTAAGATCGTTTTAAGGCTCATTTTCAGCTTGTTTTCAGTTGTCCAATAAAAAGCAGTCTCAGCTGCAGAAACACGCTAAAAAAACGTGAAAAGGCGCAAAAACATGCTAATCGGCTTCCATTGATGTCTATAGAGCAAAACGAGCTGATAAGCGACTCAAAAGAAGCTCATGGACTATTTTAAACAACCGGCGTATTGTTGCGCACGATTCAGCGCGTTTGCGTGAACGTCCCCCATAGGAATACATGGGATTTTGATTTGCATGTGTTTCCGCGCTGAAAAAAACGCACTATGAAATACCCTGGTGTGAACGGGGCCTGAAACTCACGAAAGAGAAACTACCTAGGATCAAATAAGATTAATTGATCAAATGTAGCCAATTCCCAGGATGGTAATTATTACATGGGGTTCATTTTGTTTCATCTGAAATTAAATTCTCTTCTTCTCTCTCTTTACACCTTGACATCCATATCCCCCAACAGTCCCAATTTTAGCAAGACTGTCCTGGGATTTGACCCAAATTCTGTGGTTTCATAGATTTACCCCATGTCCTGGTGCTGGGTGCTGGAATGGTCACTCCAGCATACCAATGCCGGTATCAGACCCCTGACCAGCACAGCGTCCATACAGGAGAGTTAGGAAATCTACCCCCACTTCCTGTTTCTGGCCTTGTAACAAAAATGCCACAAGACACAGGGCCACAAGGGAAATCTAGGACAGACACAATCACTTGGCTTTATGGTTAAATAGTTAGTGTGCACCTTTCCTTTACTGCTCCCCTCTCCCAGTGGTTTAGTTTTATTTCATGCTGACCAGTAGCCACCTTGGGAGATCTTCACTGTGTAGCCTGCCTGGTACCATGCAGCCTTTCTCCTAAACCTTTTGTAACTGCACAGCTCCACCTGAGCAATCATACTGCAGATTACATTCTTTTCAAGAAAACCTAACTGCAGCCCGTCAGTTTTCTGAAGTTGCCACAAACATGAATTAGCACGACCTTGCACTATTTATTGAACAAGGCCACCTAAGCGACTGCTCCTACCAATTGCTTCCACCGGCTCTACCGACTCACCTCCCGCGGCAACTCAGTGAGAAAGTTCTCATCCACGGCCATTGTGCGGAGACTGTGCAGGTACCCGATGGTGGGAGGCAGGCTCTCCAGCTCATTACAACTGCAATCAAACTCTTCTAACAAAGATAAACTGAAATTTTAGAAGAAGATTTATTGAGCAAATCCCAGGGTAATGATAACATCTACTTCAATATATTTCACCAGGCAGAAACAGGACAGACACTAAACAAACACAAACACCAGCAGCAATTCATCTTCTCGCAGTCAGGGAAGGAGAGGTGATGGTCAGTAAGACAATGAGGACCGAATCGCAGTTGATGGATGCAGCTATAACCAATTGAAGTGACGAAACCACCAACCTACCAACTTTTGGCCATTCAGGTTCGGCCTGCAGGCAAACAGGGTAAAATAATATTCATAGGGGGAAACACTTCAACCATAGGAAGGGCTAAAAGACTAATAGAACTAAACCAGTTTGTAAGTAGATTTTTTTTAACTTTTACAGTGTTAGCGCAGCCGATGTCTAACTATACCATCAGGATGAAAGCAGGATGATTAAAGTGCATGTCTGGCCAAAAAAACATGCGGTACAACTCTGCAACACATACACATTTCTTTATGTTTTATTTCTTTAATAACAATGCAAGCACTGAAAAATACCAGCTGATCTACCAGAAATCCAGTAACCTACTAACTTTCTGTTGCAGGCTGACAGCTCTGAGTTCTCCGACTACAGAACACTTCCACCTCTCCTCATCTCCATGACACAGAGGAGACGTGTTCTTTAGTCCAGCAAGGGTGAACTCAGGACAGGCTGACAATGCTGCTGGCAGCATTGTAAGCCCACAACAGGAAATTAGGATTAACGGGTATTTTTCTATACAATGCAGCATTTTTTAAAGCGACAAAGCATGGGAAAATGCACTGCAAAGATGTACTGATTTTTTACCCTGATATATACTGTATACTTTAAGTCCAATCACAGCCGAAGAATGGACTACCAATGGCCAGTTAGCCCAATAAAACACATATACTTGTGCAAATGCTGTTGCACAATTCAAATGGATCTGATTTTGTTTGAGTTTGTCAGTATGAATGTATGCACGGTGTAGAAGACAAGCACCAACCATCAAGATGTCAGTCAAGTAATTTGAAAAACCTGTTTGACATTTCCCATTCTGTCCTGCTACTTTAGCACAACCTGATGGCGAGCAATGGACAACTCACCTAACATGCTTTGTCCAATTGACATTTACCTTGGTTCGATGTTGGGCATTCACAGTCTGTTGGGGAGGACCCCAAGGGAGTCAGTTGTTGATGGGCACACAAAGACTGGAGAAGTGAGGAACATTTTATTCCCTGACATTACCCTAGTCACTACGAAAGGAAAGCAGTTCGACATCTGACCTCCTATTGAGGGGCGGCTCCTGACTCTAATGATCTGAATTCTACATACCTAGGTGATTGTTTGGAAGTGACCATTCACAGAATAGATAATAGTTTGATGAATTGGGCAATGCTAAGATGAGGATGTCGTTTCCTCTCCCCCTCTTCTAGACCCTTTATGTTCAATAAAGAGAAGCTTCAAGAGATGTTTAGGGTATCTGCTAATTCAAGTTAGAAACAATGCATTTTAAGAGATGATGTTTTACGACTATCTGAGGGTCTCCTGAGGAAGGGGACTAGGAAGGTCTTGCAAAACATGTTGAGATATAGCCTTGCCACACGAGGAATACTGGCATACATAATACTTCTCTATGATGAGTATGAGATGGATATGACACAATGGCTGATGAAATGTAAAGAGAAAATACTGTAGAAGCTGGCCCAGTATGTGTGTGGGTTATCCCTCAGTACTTGGGAATATGGTGACCCAACTTTGTGTCTTTAATAAATTGTATGTAAAAGGTTTTTAATGGAGTTACAATTTTTTAATAATAAAATGTATTAGAATATTACATATGTCACATGAGGCACCATTAAAGCCCAGTATTATATTCCTATCTATTTTGTAAATCATTTGGATGTGGTACTTTACCCACACACATTACTAATATATTTTGGATGTCTAGTGTTTGTCTTACGGCACTGTACAAAGCAAAAGCTAAAATGCTTCTCTAGAGGGTTACAAGAGGCTATTATAAAGAGTTTTAGGTACACATGTAACTCATTTGTAACTAAATGTATATTTTTAATGAACAAATCAGGGGTGGGTGGACAAATTATTATGGAATTCAGGAGCCAGTCTGTCCGATCCAGGAGCCAGGAGGATTTTAGTAGTCTCCCTAGACAGCAACTAGAGAAAATCTCAAACTTTAGGTGCCAGCTGTAATTTCTAAGGAGCATTGGCTACCTGGCTTCTAGGATTTGTCAAGCCCTGGAATAGATAACTGAACTGTGTTTTTTATATCTCGCTTTAGTTTTAAAACCAACCTGTAACCAGTCACCAGGACTGGCCAACCATGGCTACCAAAAGCCTTAGCACTTCTGGGGTACTACAGTAGATCAACCAGTAGCCAACAAGAGCATTGAAATCAGAAGTAAGCTTCACCGATGCAAATCTCCAACCTCAATAAAGTGAAATGTTACATTTCATTTCCTATCTATGCAGTAAAGTATAACTGCAATCAGCTCGACGCCAGTAGGCGTTCCGTAGCCTGCGTCGTCATATAGAAAAAGGTGTCCTGGGCTCGTCTGGGATCAGAACTCATAGAAATTCTCCTCATAAACCGAGTATCCGTGAAGATTACTTATTATACTCTGTCAGATTGTACTGCGTCTGCCAGCATTCAAAATGAATAGTGAATATCACGAGGTAAATCGAAGCATGCTTCAGAGAGTAACCTGCTGAGCTATTAATATGTCACTGTACACCCACATCTTCAGATTTATGAGACCGTGCCGTGATGGAAGAAAAAAAGAGGGCCTGTAAGGAACACGCCCGTGGATTTATGACATACGTACACGTCTTCATTAATGACATTTCCGCAGTATTTCTCATCGTGGCTCATTCACAGACTGTTTAAAAAGCAAATGATAACATTTTAATGAGGCCGCACACTATGTTTTGGAGGGTTTTGTTTACTAGTCTCTATTACCAGGGTACAGACATCGTTCGTAACACTATTGATGGATACTGTCTTTTCATGAAAAGGAACCATCTGAGGACACGGAAAACTCTGAGATAGGCTGCTATAATTTAACATGGTTGCTATCGTCCTCTGAATGTTCTAATGCTCTGACTGGCTAAAGGCCTTTGAATACTCCAATGCTGTGATTGGCTACTGGATGGTTTAATTTAGAGAATGTTCCAATGATTTGTCTGGCTACAGAATAATTGAATCCTTTCAATATTTGCTCTGACTGGATACAGGTTACTGTGACCTTGAAATGTTTCTACTCCTTCTGCTATCATACCGGTATCCTTTTGACTTTTTGCTTTGTTCACAGATAAAAAAAATGTGAATAATAGAAGCTAATGTGCCAAAGAAGCGCGTGCGCCCTACGTGGTAAATCTTTCCCTTAGGTTAACGCATCTCATTGGGTCAGGTGGGGGGAGCCTACCCGGCCAGAGCAGTGATGTCAGCATGCTGGGTGGACCGTGCACCACCACTGACAGCAACCCCCTTGGGCCATGCATCACCAGATACACATTCAGTTCCTTAGCCAAGCACTGAGTAGCTGTTCTTCAGAACTTCAGTTTGCTGCAGCAGTGTCACTGGACGCTTCGGCTGCACAGTGCTAAGAAAAATGGCGGAGGAAAATATTTTTGTCTAAAAAACACTAGGGATGCACAGATAGCGATATTGGTATTGGTGCCCATACCGAGTATTTGGGATTGTCCGGGAAGCCAATTAGCATCGAGCTGGCCAAACAGCCGGCTCGATTATAATTGGCTAGGAAGCTGTATTCCCAGCCAATCAGCATGGAGCCGGCTAAACAGCATTGAGCCAGCTTCCCGGGCAATCAAGAATTCGGGCAGCAAGTCATTGCCCGCCGCCCGGCTTCCTGATTGCCCAGGAAGCAAACTCCATGCTAGCAGAACTACAGATATCGGTACTTGGTATAGGCAAGTACCGAAATATAAATATCGGTACTCGTACTTGATAACGAAAAAACGGCATTGGTGCATCCCTAATAAATACCATTTTCCAACGAATATTTGATAAACTCGTCCACCAAAACATTAAATTGCAGGTTCTCACACTGAATTGATTTCCTCCATCGGTGTTCGGGCACCTTTCTCCAGCGCTGCTAGGTGTGCCCACAGTTAAAATGGCTGCTGGTGCTCTGTCCCCAACTTCTCACTCAGCACTCTGCATCCACATACACTTCCACTGCGAGTGCTAAGTTAGCACTGACTTGCAGCACAGCATTCAACAACAACTCAGCACTCGCAGCAGATGAGCAACTGAACACGCCTCAGGACCAACACCATTCCCCTGCCCCACCCCGTGGACCGTGCATCACTAACAGTACCAACCCCCACAGGACAATGCACCGCCAGGTGGGGAAAACAGTAGGGACAGTCCTGCACAGTGCAGAACTTTGCTGCTATAAAAAAAAGAATTATTAAAACTATATTAAAAAATGAAAATGTCAAATCATGAACAAAATACACAAATAAAGAATATATGAGGAATGACACTACACATCCCATTAAAAATACATCTGCAAAAAAAAGAGTCTTGGCAGTCTATGTCTACATTTGTTTCTTCCCAAAATAACCCAATGGGTGGCTGTAATGGGACAGCTATCCCAACGATTGCCATGAGCCGACAATGACTCATTAGTATCAGACAAACAGAATCCTCCCACACAGTGTGCTAATGGTTTGCAAAACACCTGAGGCCAATGACACTGCCAGAAATGACAGCCAAAAAAAGTGTAAGTAAAGCCAAAAACTTTTTTTGTTTTTAGTTTTGGATAGAGTAGGATATGGTTAAAGTTGAATTCCAGCCTCGGTTTTGCACAGTGTTACCGGCTCCTCTCCTACTTTGATTTCACTGGACACTGCAAGCTTCTCACAATGTGCATTAGAAGCTGCAGCATGTTAGATGGACAGGCAGGATAGATTTCCCGGCTAGTGGACATCCAGCACCATCTAGCTCTTTCCTTGCCAGCCTGACT